CAGCTGCATTTGATACAAGAATATCTAATCCACCAAATTTCTCTTTTGTCTACAATATTACTTATTGATGTTAATAATGTATAATAACTTTTAATATAACATATAATTGTTTAACATTTACTTTGTTAAAAAGATTTTTTCTGTCTTCCTGTTTAGCAACATGACATACAACACCAGATACTTCTAGTCCTTCAGATTGAAGCTGTTCCACTGCTTTCTTTACATTTGAATCTTTACGACTGCTAATCATCACTTTGGCACCTTCTTGAGCCAAACGTCTTGCAATTGCAAAGCCAATACTGTAGAAAAAATATAAAAAATATGTAAATAGCTAATTTAACGAAAGAGGTTAAGTGATAGCATTTATGAAAATAATAATTAATTCTAATTTATATTCTATAAATTTCCTCACCCATCTGTTGAAGCTGTCACAATTGCTGTTTTCCCTTGTAAACGATTGCATTTTATCACGGGCGAATTAACGCTAAAATTACGAATACCTTGATTTACTGTAGTGCGCCACATTATGGTGGATAATGATAATCAAACTAATGCAAAGTTACTTGATCAGAACCTCGAAAATATATGATCGAAAATATCACGTCACCGCTTTATAGATATTTTAGCAAACACGATTACGATCGTGACAGTGCACAAATATGTACAATGTAATGTATACGTTTTGTATTAATATTTATATCTATATCTATGAATGTTAATGTATACTAAATGTTAATGTCTGTATATTTAAAACAAAAATGTATAAGTACCTTCACTATTTAAAATTTCTATTAACATTTAAATTTACGTAATAAATTTTAAAAGAATCATTATTTCAAAAACAGAATTGAGATCATAGAGACTAATATTTTATCTTTAAAACTTTTGCAATTGTAAGATTATTAAGATTTGATAACCAAATGAAGAAGTATATCAGTAATCATAAGAAGTAATCATAAATAGGTTAAATTGTGTTATTCAATTTCAAGTTCAATTTTCTTTTCATTTTTATTAATAATAATTTAATTTTTATTAATAACTTTGTATCTTTAATACAAAGCCTACATTATTATAATACATTAATAAAAATAAGTTTCTAACCATTTAAGTTAATTCTCCACAAGCTGTTATCACTACTTTTTGTGCAGGAGTACCAGATTTTGTTCCAAATTTTTCGACTTTTTTTAAAACATCTAAACCACTAAGGACATGTCCAAAGACAACATGTTTTCCATCTAGCCAATCTGTACGAGCTGTACATATGAAAAATTGTGAGCCATTTGTATTTGTACCAGAATTTGCCATAGATAAGGTACCAGGCCCTGTATGTTTCAACTCGAAATTCTCATCATCAAATTTGTTTCCGTAAATTGATTTGCCACCTGTTCCATTATGATTTGTGAAGTCTCCTCCTTGACACATCTAAGATTATTTAAGAAATATATATTCATGTAAATTTATATGAAGCAAATTCAAAAATATTGGGATATACGTGATGCGTAAAGGATACAAAATCAGGAATAATTCTGTGAAAAGTGCTTCCTTGGTAGCCATATCCTTTTTCATGAGTACACAATGCACGAAAATTTTCAGCTGTTTTTGGTACCACATCGGCTCTCAGCATCATAATGATTCTACCTATTTCTTGTTTTCCAACACTAATATCAAAATAAACTTGAGGATTTTGTTTTCCTTTCTTGGTCTGTATTGTTTCTCCTGACTTAGCATTATCATCGCTTTTGAGGGTTTCACCAGCATGTTCTTGCAACCATGTATCATCAGCCCAGACAGGTTTAGAAGAACCTTCTTTTATCTTCTGTGGTTTGGCAATGTTAACTCTTATTGTTCTTCCAAATAGCTCAGAATCATTCTGTTTATCAAAGATAAATTCACAATGATTGATGTTGTGACAATTAGATAAGTGGAATCAATTTTAAGTCCATTATTATGTCTATCTCACAATAATGAATACATCATTATATGTCTTTTAGAATCAAACATATAATAAATAATAATAATAATAATAACAATTATTATAAAGAATTCCTATAATATTTCAAAATAAAATAAAATAGTACTTGAATTTAAAAAATGTTATGAAACCATGTTTTTAAATATCTCACAGAGATATGTAGATTATTATATATATGTACCATGTTATCAATTGCTGCTGCCGCATCCTCAGCACTTTCGAATTCAATGAATGCAAATCCTCTGTGTTTTTCCGATTCATAATCTAGTGGTATCTGAACATCAACAATTTCACCAAAAGGTATAAACGCTGCGTGCAATATCTTTTCATCTACTTCTTCGGCTAGGCCTCCTAAAAATTAATAATAACTGCTAACATTAAATGTATAAAAATAAATATGTGCTGGCTATAATGTAGGTTATATTTATAATTAAGTTCTAACAAATTAATACCTACCCACATAAATAGTTCGTTTCGTGTTTGTACTCATAATCGCTATAAACGAATTCTTTATTTTTTTTGTTTTTATAACTATGACATTGGAATAAACAAATATGTATGATAACACTTGTTGACTGAAAGACGCCGGCGCGCCGATAATGCATACTATCGCACAACAAAGAACACATACGCTGGAAAAATGTATACATATACATATAAGACCCTTAATCGGAGTAAATCAGCAATAAGTTACATAAGGTCAATATGTCGATGAAATAGATAACATGAATTGACAACGTCAACGTGTTAGAAGTAACCGTTTGTATAAAACGTGACATACAATTGAAAATACAAGTGTTCTCTCATTGACAGTCTGTAGTCTTGAAGTAAGTGTCACCAGTCAGCACACGCGGTATTGACATTTTATTGCAGAAATTATTATTAACTGAAGGTATTTGTACAGAAATTCTGCTGAAACGAAAAGTTTTTTTTATAAAAGTTATAATTACAGTGTGGATTCTTATGTACGTAAAATATACAAACAAGAATGTAAATATGAATAAAAAATATGCGTTTATGTACGCTAAATTATTTCTATTATAATAGATATTTAACAATCTTATTTTAATTAATAATTTATTAATGATGAACCACCATAATTAGCATTGCAATAATTCACAAGTAATTCTACCACGTTTTTGGAATTTAAATATTCACGTTTGTCAGTCGATATTAATTTATATGACAAAAATGAATATATTTCAGACAAATTTAGATTCTTTTTGTAACTATATATAACTGATTTTTATAACTGTAAGCCAGTAATGAAATTGATTATTATTTGTAAGAAATCTCTACACCAATAGTTTCTAATCTTTTTACTATGGCTGACAATATTTGCAAATGTACTTTAATGTATCTTAAATTTTAAACAACTTCATAGTTTAAAGATAGTTATGAAAGCTATATTTAACAAACATATGATTATATATGCATATGTTTTCTGTTCAAAATAGCAAACTAGTAGCAGCATATCGAAATATGCATTTGCATAAAAATCTGCAGTGTAGTTATAATACCATCCAAAATTTTATTGCATATGTAAATTTTTATTTTTTATGCTTTTTATGATCAATTGTATGTTGCAGATTGTTATTTATTTGCTGGCACAATGTTCCACAGTGTATCTATAACACAAAAGTACACTTCATCCCATGCATTGACATTGACTAGAACAATGCATCTTCTAAAAGATCTTGCGTACGTAAATGGCAAATGGATAGGAGCAAGCAGTAAACAAATATTTCCTGTCCATAATCCAGTTGACAAATCTGTTATTAACAATGTACCTGATATGGATGTCCAAGACACAAAAGTAGCTATTGAAGCAGCATCGAAAGCTTTTGAATCATTTCGTACAACAAGTGCAAAAGAACGAAGTCATTTGCTTAGAAATTGGTATGATTTAATGGTGAAATACTCAAAGGATTTGGCACAAATTTTGACCAAAGAGAATGGAAAATCTTTGGCTGAGGCTAAAGGTGAAATTATATATGGAAACTCTTTTGTTGAATGGTTCTCAGAAGAAGCTAGAAGGGTTGATGGAGAAGTATTACAAGGAGGAGATCCCAATAAGCACCTATTTTTATTGAAACAACCTGTGGGGGTTGCTGCTTTAATTACGCCATGGAATTTCCCTCATGCTATGATTACCCGGAAGGCAGGAGCTGCCTTATCTGTTGGATGCACATGTGTAGTGAAACCATCTGAAGATACACCACTTACTGCCTTAGCATTGGCTGAACTTGCAGAGAAAGCAGGATTCCCACATGGAACCTTTAATGTGCTCACAACAAGCGAAAAAAATTCACCAAATGTTGGTAAAGAACTATGTGAGAATCCCAAAGTAAGAGTGCTATCATTTACTGGTTCAACACCAGTAGGAAAAATTTTATACAAACAGTGCGCTTCATCTATGAAGCGACTCAGTCTTGAATTAGGAGGTAATGCACCATTTATTATTTTCAATTCAGCAAATTTAGATTTAGCTATAACAGGTGCTATGGCAAGTAAATTCCGTAATACTGGTCAAACATGTGTCTCTGCAAATAGATTCTTTGTACAAGCAGGTGTATTTGATCAATTTGTTGAAAAGTTTTTAGCAAAGATTAAAAGTGATATTAAATTGGGAGATGGTAGTAAGGAAGGCGTTACCCATGGTCCTCTTACTAAAGACAATCAGTTAAAAATTGTACACAGATTAGTTACTGATGCAGTAAAAAAAGGAGCAAAAGTACATTGTGGTGGTACACCATTAACTGAAATAGGACCACTGTTTTATTCTCCTACTCTTATTACAAATGTAAACGAGGACATGGAAATATATAACAAAGAAATTTTTGGTCCAGTAGCAGTAATTAATAAATTTAATTCTGAGGAAGAAGTTATACAAAAAGCTAATAATACAGCTGTTGGTTTAGCTGGATACTTTTATTCAGGTGATGTACCACAAATATTTAGAGTAGCCAAAGCATTAGAAGTTGGAATGATTGGTGTGAATGAAGGTTTGATTTCCTGTGCTGAAGCTGCCTTTGGTGGGGTAAAAGAATCAGGTATAGGTAGAGAAGGTTCTAGACATGGAGTTCACGATTATGTTGATATTAAATATGTATGTATTGGAAACATTAAGCAGTAATGATTACTTTTAAAAAATATTCAAACTAATAGCAACATATATTTGTAGCAAAATTGTTGAAGGAGATCAAATATTTTGTATAATACTTTATTTATAGGATATTTTAGATTGAAATAGTAGTATTATATTCATTGAAAATAGTACATGTACGTATATGTAGAAAAGGTTCTATATACA